GATTTACCTTTACTCAACGATCAGAAAAAGCTCGATTTCTCGAGGAACTTTCTTCCAGGACTTTCTGGAAGAGGATGCGAAGTTTTTCAAGGTGTTAAAGGATTTGGTTTACCCGGCAACGTCTCAAATTCCGAATTTTTACCCAGTCCACTCTGGTATCCGCCATATCCAATGCCACAATCTTATCCTGGGATAGATCCCTTACACTTTTTCATCGATCTTCGTGTCTCTGGACATATATGGGATCGTAAGCTCAATGAGAGGCAGTTACCCTTCAAAAGCAAGCACTGTTCGGCTTTTAGCGTTCCGCAATCAAAGGAATACGGTAATCGCCCATTGAATCTCACAAGGGACGAAGCTAGTACATCTAGAACCATTGACGAAAACCTGCATGGCACCAATTACATTTTGAAGCATCTCAGTAGGACGTACAGAGATATACAGAAAACGAAAGTTTCGAGGCAGGAGACGTCGGCAACGGAAAATGACGAGACTAAACAAGGACTGTCAGAAAGTAAGTTTGCATTGACTCTTTTTTCTTTCTCATTTTTAATATACATATATATATATATATATTTTTTTTTATTGATATATTTTATTAACACATTTAATGGAATCTTTGCATAAATCTATATATTCATCTAATTCCTTAACTTATGTCATATTCTCTTTAAAGTGAAAGATTTCAAATAAGATATCTGTAAAATTGAGGAGTATTCCTCATTAAACGTGTTAAACTAACTAATAGAGAAAAGAAAAAGAAAAAGAAAAACAAAGAAAGATTCGTCGATCATTATAGTTAAATCGTCCTTCATGTTTTCTTCCTCGTCAATGAAAATAATTAATTGGAAAAAGAAAGGAAAACATAAGGCGTATAAATTGTTATTCCGACATACGATTATCTCAGTTGTTTCTCGAAAACAGGCGAAGACTCTTCGAAACAGGAAGACGCTAGTAATTCCTCCGGGAGTAAAGAAGACGAGAGAAAGGATCTACGTGCTGTAATTGGTCTCGAATTGGTGGTAGACTACGTAAAGGAACCAAAAGGTGACCCTTCGACCGAACAAGCCGCACGAGTTAACTCGGAATAATTTGTGAAAGTGCCAAAGGTGATCTTTAGATTCGTTCTTTATTAATAATTGTAACATATTGCTAGAATCATCGACAAATCTCCGGTTAATATTACATTCGAATTTTGTCTCTCGCGATTATCTTCAAAAAGAAAAGAAAAAACAAAAAAAAAAAAAAACAAAAAAAAAAAGGAAAAAAAAAGAAAAAAAAAGGAAAAAAAAAACCAGAAAAAAAGAACGAGATTAATAATCTTAAACATTTTTCATCCCTTTCAACTTGAAATAAATCGCGTTATCTATTTAAACAGAAATCTATTAATCGTCTCTAATATACCCGAAAGTATATCATCTTGAGCTTTCGTTTGTTTACAAGGAATAACGCAAAACCTCTCGTATCTTTCCTTTTAAGCTAATCACGGAGAAATTAATCGATTATCGCGACTTTAATTAAGTCAATCCCTAGTTATAACAAGGAGGATTTTTTTTAGCTACCTCCATTGGGACTTGAAATGGTCCCTTTCCGAATTCAATTGTATGTGATATGCACTGTAAATATGATAGTAGTATTCCGATGTATCTATATGTATCAATAGAGTATGGATAGATTATGATGAACGTGTAAATTGTCGTAATAAATCCGATGTGATTTAGATAGCCTTTATCTCTCTCTTTCTCTCTCTCTCTCTCTAATTATCTATCTATTAATAATCTAATATTCTGTTTCATTTCTTTTTTTTTCAAATCGTAGTAAACAAAGAAGTATCAATGCTTCTTGCTGAGTATCTTTCTTGTTGAATATATACAACTGAATATATATGTATATACAGAATATTTCGTACATATATATGCATATACTTAGTGAATGTGTGTATATGTATATATATATACATACACATACATATATATGATGAATTCATTGAAACAGCTTCATTATTTATTTTCTTATGTGATAAGAAATTGTAACACATGAATGAAACAAAGGCAACATCTACCGTCATTAATGGATTTTTTTACTACATTTGTGTGTCTCTTTGCTTTTTTTTTTTTCAATACGACGATACGTCTCGTTATAACCGAAAGAACACTTGATGACATATATAAATAAGAAATTCTAAGAACTTGCATGAATCGCATGAATTTCGCTGATTGTCCATATTAATAATCTCATACAGCGATTTATAACGTATATTTCATTACAAACTCATTTACAGACTATATCATTTTTATTTCATTTTAGTATCTTATTTCATTTTTTTTTTTTTTTTTTATCGATATCTTATCGCCACGATTATTTTAAATTTATTTATTTGAATAGATCTTATCTATCTATCGTGGATTTATTCTTTTAATGAAATTTTTCATAAATGCAAAGATAGGAATGAATATGATAGGTTCTTTCATAATTGGAATAACGTCAGATATTAAATGTTTTATTTATTTTTTTTTTTTTTTTTTTTTTTGCTTTTTAAATTATTAAGTACGATCACATTATCAATAAAAAAGAAAAATTAAAGATAAGTTTTTAAAGATAAGCGTGAAAACAAATTGATATTATTCTATATAGAAATGCGTTAGATAATTGATGATTACTCTTACGAATAAATGATAACGTGTCGAAGAATATATAATATTTCCTATAAAATTAATTAGTTAACACGTTCTTTTTCGTTTACATTTAAAATTAGAGAGAAGTTACTCGCTCAAATAATTTTTTTTATTATTCAAATTTAAGCGTAATATCGATTGTAAAAAAAAAAAAAGAAAAGAAAAAAGGAAAATATCACATCGTTGTTTTTAATAAAACGATCCTGATTTAATTTCATTGATCTTTCTGCGTTAAATCGTAACTCGTTAGATCGAACAGCTTGTGATATAACGAAAACATAGTTTCGTAATAATAATAATAATAATAATAATAATAATAATAATAATAATAATAATAATAATAAATAAATAAATAAATAAATAAATAAATAAATAAATGAATAGACAAGAGAAAAGTAATGAAAAGCTTACGTAGCCCGAACATTTTCTAATGAATGGTTGATTACGAATGTAATTCTACATGCGATAATTAATTCCAAGTAAGACGATTAAGCGGTGGCCTCCTCCTCTTCGCCCCTCCGTCTTTCTCCCGTCGATAGATAGAGACGGTAAAGCCAATATTTCCACAACGACGATGTCATAAAATATGCATGGTACCGTTCAAAAAAAAAAAAAAAAAAGGAAAAAAGAGAGAGAAAGAAAAGAAATGAGAAAAAAGGAAAAAGGAAAGAAAAGAAAGAAAAAGTAAAGGAAAGGAGATAAAACGTAGGAAAGTATTGTTCTAGGTGCATAAATCTTTGCGAGTAGTAACGCACGAACGAATATTACAATTCACGATATTTCCTTTTTACGTGACACAGCCTAGTGGATTTTAATAACGGTGGCATATAGATCAGAAGAAAAGTACGTAGAGGAGGTAGAGGAATGAATGTGTGAATATATCGGAAACGATTGCGAAAGGGTAAAAAAGAAAAGAAAGAAAAGAAAAAAAAATGAAGAAGAAGAAGAAAAAAGAAATAATAATCGCGTGAAGATCGTTTGGAATTGATCATAGATTACATTTGAAAGCAGTCTTTGCTTTAGAAGTGCTAAGCGATTTTGGATTGTCAAAGGGTAAAGGTTGTAGGAGACGTGCCGCGACTTGCACATTATTGAGACGCGAAAAGAGATTAAAAACGACTTTTTTTTCGTTTTTTTTTACTTTTTCCTTTTTTTTTTATTTATTTTTTTTTTTTCCAAAGGATCGCTTCCATTGACTGGGGGTGCATTGCGGCAAGTCCTGAATAATGCATGAAATTTGTACCCTAGAATCGAATCGCTTCTCGTCACACCAACGGTACGAGACGACAAGAGAACGGGCATAAATCTAAATAATTTCAACCCTCGAATTTTTATTATTCCTATGACTACGCGACGGGTTCTCGTCGTTGAATATGCATATGTCGCTTTCCACACTTCGCTCGAGTGTGTTCTACCTTTGTGTCAAAACACTTCGTGATACCTAGAATCAGCAGCATCATCTCTTGATATCCCGATCTCCATTTTACCAGCTATTCATAACGCTCGAGATAATCCATGGATTCGTTGATTCCCTTATCCCTTTTTTTTTACTCTCTCGAGGATACTTCCTTCGCAAAAGATCTCTTTATTCTTTATTAATATTATGAACGTTAAATGTAACGCGAAACGTTCCTGTCAGCCAAGAAAAGACGCATAGCTCGTAGATCAAAGAGAAACTCTAATATCGAAAATTTACAATGTCCATCATTATTCACTCGTGGAATCTCGATAAATCACAGACAGGATTAACGAGCAGCGAAGATGACACTGAATCCCTTGGATTCTCCGTACCTCCTTTTTCCTTCGTCTTCCCGTTCACAAGACCGATGAAATATAGCCAACAACTTTTCTCATATTTGAGAGTTTTCTTGAGAACCATACTGTACCATGGAAGAGAGCGGTGTAAGCAGGAGGGAAAATTATGAAGTGGTTGGGACGAGTGCTATAACGTAACACCAAGTAGGGTGAAGTTACCGAGTGTTTATATCCAGAAGCCTTCCTTTTTCTAAAAGTTATATTCCCTTTTTCATGACCTTTTCTTTCTTTTTTTTTCTTTTACACCCGCAATCATGTAAATCCAACTTTCACTTTCGTCCTTCGTATCTTCGCATTAAGATGTCGCATATCCTTTTTTTTTTTTTTTTTTTTCTTTTTTTTTCAAATTAATCGAAATATAATATCTCCGATTTTTATTTCGATAAGCGAGACTTATCTATGGGAAATGAAAAGTAAACGAATATGTGCGTTACGAAGATAAAAGCAATGGAAAAAAAAGAAAGTATATACATATAAATAAATAAAAGAAAGAACAAACTCGTGTATTTGAAGTTTTTTCCTTTATGTTTTTTATTTTTATTTGTTTATAATACTGCACAATGTTGACTTCTGAAACTTTTTCTTTAGCACACTTTGCATAACAATTTTATTTAAAAGTATAATACAGAGTGCATCTACACATTAATTTGTACAAACTAATCTTTACAAAGTTTACTAAAATCCTTTATCTATCAGTAAACGATATGTAACAACCAATGCGAATAGAAAAATACACGATGATTGTTACGCGTTTACTTGGAAATTCGCATGTAACGAGATATATGAGGTAAATGCTATAACAAACTTAGGGCAAATCTTCGGTATATATAATTACATATTTTTACAATGAATTGTATTTCCTATTTTGTAAGATATATGATTAAATTGGACTATAAATTGATACTGAGCAAAATTATATGAATCAACATATGATATTATGTTTGTTAAATTGAAAGAGCTTTACCACATTAAAAGATCACGAATTCTACGAGTATTTGGCAGTTCATATTTAATTATTTTCTAATGCTATTTATTTTGTTTGTGCAGAAACTCTTTTGCAAATTTCATTAGTATATTCGCTGCATTTTGCAGTTCCTCCAAGATCACCAGTCAAATATTTGGCTTCTTTGATAGTGTCATATGCAGCATTTTCTATAATTCGCGCATGATCGTTTAATCCCATATATTTTAACATCATTACAGACGATAATAACAACGCTGTAGGATTAGCTTTATCTTGACCCGCAATGTCTGGTGCAGTTCCATGCACCTATATTATGAATAATAATTTTAATTAAGCTGTAAAACGTAATATTTGTAAAAAAAAAAAGTAAATAAAATAGTTCGGAACATACCGATTCAAAGAGAGCACCATTAAGGCCAATATTTCCACTAGGAGTAAGTCCAAGACCGCCTACAAGTCCAGCACACATATCTGATAAGATATCACCATAAAGGTTGGGCATGACAAGAACGTCGTATTGACTTGGATCTTGTACCATATTTAAGCACACTGTATCCAAATACTTTTCTTCGAATTTTATGCTTGGGAATTTTTGAGCAGCATCCCGACAACATCTAAGGAATAACCCGTCAGACATACGCATAATATTTGCTTTATGTACTGCGGTTACCTATAACAAGATACAATCTTTGAAATATCATCTGCAATCATTATTAAATTAATTTTTATTATTGAAGACAGTCTTACCTTTTTTCTATTATTATCCTTAGCATATTGAAAAGCAAAATCTGCTACTCTACTAGATGCTTCTTCCGTGATTAATTTAATACTTTGTACAACACCTTCTACAATCTCATGTTCTATACCTGAATATTCTCCTTCTGTATTTTCTCTGATTGTTACTACATCTACATTATCGTACAATGTTTTATATCCTTCCAAAGAACGACATGGTCGTACATTAGCATATAAATTGAATTCTCTACAAAAGAAAAATAATTGAGTTTATTGATTTGTGAAAATATATCATTCAGATTCAATCATGAAAATAAACATGAATGATATTACTCTACAAACATTGCTTAAAGTATATCAAATAAAATGATGCTATCTATATTTGACTTGATGTTTTTGATTACATAACTACAGAATTATTAAAAGCAGCTGTGTTAAGAAGTAGATAATATTCTCAAATAATTAAGGTTAAAATTATACTATATTTGATTACACAATGATAAAAAGAAACTCACTTTCTTAATGCAAGGTTTAAAGATCTGTGACCTTTTCCTATTGGAGTCATGAGAGGTCCCTTTAAACCAATTTTATTTCTATTAACCGAATCAATAGCAGCTTGTGGAATGCCAAATTTTCCATCTGGACCTTTTACAGGTGTTACATCCACTGATTCCCATTCTATTGGTACCTGTCATTACGGTGAAACATATTATTACAATACGTAATATTAAATATAATTGAAAAATAAGCTTATATACTTTTTATAAAAAAGCCACCTATATTTCTTTTATAAATATATTAAACCACTTTAAAGAATTGTGGATTGTATATGTGTACATGAATATATATATATATATATATACACACATATAAAGATTCAATATGGATTCTCCTGATATGACATAACACCCTGAACACATACACTTGAATAGCTTAAAAAAAAAAAAAGATAAATAAATAAATAAAATGATTTAAAGGGGGAAAAAAGCAAAAATATATATATTTTTTTACTTTTGGTAAGAGCTATAGTAAGAACACATTAAATAAACCTATAATTGGATTAACCTGTATAAGAGAAAGATTAAAATAAACGCTATAAGAGGTTAATGCTACGACAAATTGGGTCACCTTGCAAAATATAAATTAATATTGTTCTTTAAAAAAAACAAATATTTATTGTTAAGAACATTCTTGTGTTATCTAATATTTTGAGAGAGAGAGAGAGAGAGAGAGAGAGAGAGAGAGAGAGAGAGAGAGAGAGAGAGAGAGAGAGAGAGAGAGAGAGAGAGAGAGAAAGAGAGAGAGAGAATTGAAAGACTCGTAAAATCGACGAGACACTAGTACGTTAAAAAAAAAAAAAATAAAATAAAATAAAAAGGTATATACCTATATACATATGCTTGTGCCTTACCTTTGCAGCATCAAAAATCTTTTGCACAGCAATGGATATTTCTGGGCCAATTCCGTCTCCTGGTATAAGGGTACATTTACGAAGATTACTGCAGAAGCGTACATTGCCAATTTTTGGTGAGATCTGTCCTCGGAAAATCCAGAAAACGATTCAATTCTATGCGATGACATTTTATCAGTTTTGTTATTTCACATTTATATGAATGGAAAGGATAACATTGTGATATATATTTACTAAATAATGCAAATGGAATTCTTGAAATATATTGAAATCTTGGAATATATAGAAGACGATTAGTCTTATGAAAGGAGTAGACGAATATATAGACCATGCAAAAGAAGTATTCTAACCTTTCTATTCGAAAATATGATAATATTAAATAAACGATACAATAGTTAATAAATAGACTTTTGAAAGGTATGTGTTAACTTACTGCTTTTCGTATCCACTGGGCTGCCATTATCTTAAAGTAAACTTTTATATAAAAAAATGAACCTCTAGTATACCGAAACGCAGCTGCGCACGTCAGAAGAGTCGCAAAGCAAAAGCAAAAGGAAAAAGAACGAACGAACGATTCTCATTGGTCGACGTATCTCGATGTCTTCTGCTATTCGGAAACGGAAGATAGCGGACGATATTTGTTTAAAGATGAACGGTGGCTCCACGGCATATGTTTGAATTAAAATTACATTTGCATCATTATGTTTTGTAAAACAATAAAAACGAGCTTATAAAACAAGGTGATAGAAACGTTTATAGGTTATTTCGAGATAAGTTTTACAGTTTGATCTTTGGAAAATGTATCAGTTACGATATGAATAAATTCAAATTATAATTGAAATAAAAATTATTATTTCCCGCTGTAATAGCTATCTTTAAATTCGATCAGTAATTGGTCGATGAAATTGAGAAACTTGCAATTTCATTCTAACTAATGATTTTATCGGAAGTTAAGAAATCATTTTAAAACTTTAATGATAATAGCGTTAGTTAATACGTGGAAAAAAACATAATCGATATTGTTTATCTTATCGCGCTTAATACTATATATATATATATCAATTATAAGAAAATCTTTTGTGAGTTTTCATCATATCGTATTAATACTTTATAGTATTTGTAAATTTGCTTTTGAATTCATTGGTTTCCGGGATTTGATAACTTCCGTTGACAGCCATTTTATAAGACGCTTCTCGTGCTCGCGTATGTTTGCTTCTATTTTCAGTTTGACTATTTTGTAACCTCAGAAATTTAGATAGATTATCTAGAACTTCCTTTGTTAATCGTTATTTCAATTAAATAACAAGGATGATCAAAGTGGAGGAGTAAGTGAAACAATGAATATTTTTTCAAACATCTTCATGAAAATTTTATTGTCGGCATGTGATATACCATTTTATTATTAATATTAACCGTTCCCATTTATATTATCGTTTTATGTAATGATATTATATCTTGTTTGCATTTAAATTAAATTGTTATTTGTAGATGTTGATTCAAAATATTATTTATAATTAAGCTTTCTTTGTTTTATATAATGGTGGAATGATTTTATATTAATTAAGTGATATTTTTCATTTCATATTCAATATTCTTTTAAACAACAGAACACAAATTCCAAATGACGATGAAAGAGATAGGAGCAGAGAACGTGATCGGAATCGACGATCGGATAGACAAAATCGTATCAATTCGACTAGTCGTGATCGGAGTAGAGAAAGAAATGATCGTGGTGGCAGAAAAGCTTCAGATAGAAGAATTTATGTATCAAATATACCGTATGACTTTCGATGGCAGGATTTGAAAGATTTATTTAGAACTGAAGTAGGGAAAGTTGCACATGTCGAACTATTTACGGATGAAAATGATAAGCCCCGTGGTTGTGGTATTGTTGAATTTGAAGATGCGGAATCGGTAAAAATTGCTGTTGAAAAAATGCATCGTTATGACACAAAAGGAAGGAAATTAGTTGTGAAAGAGGTAGTTCAAGATGATTATGTAACACATTTAAATTGAATATCATATTACGAAAAAAATAAAACAATTTAATTGATTTATTAATAATTTATCTTTTTTAGGACTTTGATGTTGAGCGTGATAAATATGGTCGTCTAGCAACAGCTCGTAATAATGATAGACCAAGAGATGATAGGTTTAGAGATCCTCCTCGTCAGCAAGGAGGTGGTAGACAAAACATGCCAGCACCTAGTGGCAGTGGTGGTGGTGGTGGTGGTGGTGTTGGTGGCGGTGGTGGTGGAGGTGGTGGAGGCGGTGGTGATAATAAGTTTGGTAATACTTATGGTCTCAGTACACAATTCTTGGAATCTTTAGGTATTAATGGACCTTTGGTTACAAGAGTCTTTGTAGCAAATGTAAGTATATCTTAATGTTAATAAATATTTATAATAATCGTAAAATATATTACTCTTTATATTTTCATTATTCTCTTCAGTTGGACTATAAAGTAGATGAAAAAAAATTGTTGGAGGTATTTAAGTTGGCTGGTAAAGTTTTACATGTTGAATTGGGCAAAGATAAAGATGGAAAGTCTCGTGGCTTTGGAGTCGTAGAATATGATCATCCAGTGGAATCTGTACAAGCTATTTCAATGTTACACAATCAACAACTTTATGACAGACGAATGACAGTAAGGCTTGATAGAGCAAATGAACCAGATATGCCACCAAAATTACCAGAAGGTATGGTTTTTTCTTTTTTTTTTTATTGATATGACAAAGTTCCCATGTTGGTACATTTATACATTTCAATATAATTATAATTTAATATAAACTAGGTCTGAAGGGCATTGGAATGGGATTAGGAGCAGGAGGAAACAGATTAATGGATGTAGCACGAAATATTCCTAGTGTACAAGCCAACAATCCACCGGTTGTAAATCCTATCTCTGCTCCTGTTTTGGCTGCCGGTGCATTTGGTGCTGGATTAAATAACGTTGTACCTGCACAATTAGGTATGCCGTGAATTAACATCGATTAAACATAGACTTATATACAGATATATGAATGCATTTATTCACAATTATTTCTCTTCTTTTTAGCATCAGCATTGACAAATTCAAATGCAGCAGCACTTCAAGCGAGTCTTGCTGGTGGTTTAGGAGCAAACCTAACTACAAGCTCTTTATTGAATTCATCTTTAACAAATGAACTGGCTTCAAATTTGAATAGCTTTGGTGGTGGAGTTGGCGGTTTGTCAGGACTACAAGCATCTTTGGCTGGTGGTCAAGGAAATAATTCTTTTGCACCAAGAGGTTTATCTAAATTAGATAACGATATAGGATTTGGTGGCAACAATGCTTTTGGAAGTTCATCCTTTGGTGGTGGCAGAGATTTTGATGGAGGCTTCAACAGAGGGGATGGCGATCGTGTATCTGGTGGAGGTGGTGCATTCTCCGGAAATCAAGGACAAGGTGGAGGTGGTAACAGACAAAATGCTAACGGTTCTCGGCTGATGTCAGATACCATTCTTATAGGAAATGTAAGTATATTTTGAAAAATTTTATTTGACGCAATTAATATTATCAAAAATATCTGAGCATGTTATTGTATTTTTCGCTTCTTTTCTTGTAGAGTATAATTTAGAATATATAAAGTTCGAATAAAAAATAATAACACGTACTGTTTTGATTACAGTTACCTCCTAATACTACGTGGCAAATGTTACGTGATAAATTTCAAGATGTTGGTGAGGTCAAGTTTGCAGAAATGAGAGGTACAGATATGGGAATGGTACGATTCGTCTCTGAATGGGATGCGGAGCGAGCAGTGTGTATCCTTTATAAAAGAAAAACATCGTATTTTGTGTGTGTGTGTGTGTATATATATATGTATATATATATATATACACTAACATTTTAATAATATACGAGTATTTTCCTTGATTTATATACTTTATAGCGATGATGAATCGGTCACGTATCGATGGCAGGACAATCGACGTACGCTTGTACTAACGAAAGAACTACTACATCGATCAAAGGTAACGCTAGTACGAATTAATATTCGCAGAATTTGATGCTTGACCATAACTTATTGATGCAGCTAGAGGAGACTGGGGTTTGCTATGTCGTCTGCAGCATTGTTCCGCTCCCGATGACAATACTTGAAATTCATCGTAGTTGTGTGGCAGAACGTAGGACAGTGAGTGAGAAGTAATCTGTCGTTGGAAGAACAACAGTCGTGTGTTGTATACCTGTTCAACGTTGAAACGCTCGTATTGATGGGCTAATGGTCAGCCTTCTTTGACGTAACCATCTTGTTCTAAATTCTACACCATCAGTTATCGTTCCTTTTTACAGTCGGAAACGTTCACTTCTAAATCAGCTTCTTCGAGTGATCGATATATAGTTTAGTTTGTTAGGTTTTAGGTTCGTAATGTTCTTACATAGTCCATAGGTTTTTTCAGTATGTAGGCTATACTATTTACAGTAATCAGTAAAAAGTAGCTTGTAAGTTTATTTCATAGTTGTCACACGATGAGAGTAAGATAGTAAGAGAGAGAGAGAGAGAGAGAGAGAGAGAGAGAGAGAGAGAGAGAGAGAGAGAGAGAGAGAGAGAGAAAGAGAGACGACTCAATCGGTTTTCTGACATTCCGGTCTAAAGTGACGCTTTGGTCGTTCGCAAACAGGTCAACCAAACAGGGACAAGATAATTTTTTTGTCGTTATATTAATATTTAAAGCTGGCACGGTTGTCACAAATGTAAGAGTTAAATTTTCGATCAGACTATAATCCATCTTATATTAGATACTCGTTCAACGATTCAATTCTTATACGGATAGTAAATATCTGTCGTTTTATTCTAATGTCAGTTTCTCTCATATACATCGGTTCTTATGCCTAATATGTAACTAGATGTATCGTGGTTCGACAGGGAACAATTCTCCGCTCCGTTCACCTTTGAAATTTATTTTTTTTTGTTATCCAGTGTTATCCACGCTGCATACTACATCGTTGTAATTATTTTGGAGATTTAAAGAGCATAAATCTTTTTATCTCGCTTTAGGAAGGTCCCTTTCGGTTCAGTCGCTCTGAGACTTCAGCGAACGAACATTGGATGACTTTATGCCCTAAATTTGCTAGAATTGTCTTACGTATTGTGCACAATCATATGTTTACCAAAAAATATAAAACACGTTTATATTATATATATATATATATATATATATATATATATATATATATATATATATATATATATATATATACATATACATATATATATATGTTTGTGTATTTCGTGCTTTTTATATCAGTAAAGAAGATATATATATACATATATACGTATATATATATGTGTATATATATATATATATACACATATATTAGAACACTATTTTACGATAATAATAATAATAATAATAATATTAATAATAATAATAATAATATTAATAATAATAATAATGATAATAATAGTTCACGCGCGAATCTATTCTTTGGTAAACATATTTCTTCTCGCCATGTAGATTTCGAGGAACATTCTCTGCGCATTGTGTAACACTCTTGTATAACCACAACCTCATTAATAGTGATTGAATAAAGTCCACATCCATTTTGACAACAAAAAAGAAAAAAAAGAAAAAGAAAAAAAAAAAAGAAAAGAAAAAAAAAATATGAGAAAAAAAAAAGAAGTAAATAATAATATGCTGTGGTCGTTGTGTGTTTTATTTTTTGTATTGTTGCGTGTCTCTCTTACCATTTTAAGCAGGTTGTGCTTTTTACCGAGGAAAAGTTTCCATCTATTTTTACGAAAGAGCTATTCAAGGGATGTCGGATGAATTTCCGGTGAAATGACTTTGTGATAACAGACGAGTTTCGACGATTACGTTTGTAACGAAATTCTACGATGTTTGTGTGTGTGTGTGCGTTTTTTTAATATGTTTTCTCCATCGAGACGTTCGTTCCGGAGCTTTCCATAAACTCGGATCTTTCATATGGGGTCATGCACTTCGTAATCTGCAAAATTGGAAACTCTTTTATAATACGGCAGGTGAGATTAATATTTCAGGTGACTTTCGTTACACTTCTTTTTTATCTTTGCGATATCCTTCAAGAGGAAAGAGTTTCGCCCAAGAAACTTATATAGGATCCGTTGTTTGTCTCTCCCTCCTACCCACCCCCTACCCCCTTCACATTTGTTTCTTTTTTCTTTTCTTTCTTTATTTTATTTTATATTTTTTTATTATTTTTTTTTTTTTACTATTATAAATTTTTATTTATTTATTTTTTGTTTAATTTTGTTTTGTTTTATTTATTTATTTATTTTTTTGGATATATCGACAACACATCGTTAATGTAATACTCGTATAGCAAATCGTACGTCGCTGTCATCGGATTGTTCTCTTCCTCAATTCTTAAACACTTTGTTACTGTTGTACAAGATTGTAAATTTTGGTATATGCTTCCCGATGAACATTTCAAAAGAAAACGAAAAAAAAAAGAAAAACAAAAAAGAGAAAAAAGAAAAAGGGATTATCGATGTTATCATGTTTCCTCTCTAATATAGTGGTTGATCTTTAAGCGGATTTAGTATCATCGACACCTGTCCTAGGAATCCAAAGTGTTTGTTATAACATGGAGATGAGAATTAGTGCAAAATATTCTTAGATCTTTAGTTAGAACGTTTCAAATATACATACATGCATATATATATATATATATATATATATATACGTATATTAATATACATATATATATATATATCATGTATTAATATACATACAAATTATGTATTAATATACTATATATATATATATATATATATATATATCTAGAGAGAGAGAAAGAGAGGGAGAGAGAGATATGTTTATAGGTAAGTTTGTCCGATGAAGTTTTATATATTTCGTTCTGTTTATTTTTTTTTTTTTTTTTTCTTTTTTTCGAAGCTGAGGAATATCCACATTGGGAATATTTTAGTACGAATCGTTAAACTTACATGTAATATTATTTCCCTTGCGAGTTTGATGGATTTTTGTTATAACAATCGTTATAAATTATTCTTTCTGTCGTTTCAACATTTTCTATCTTTTTACACAAATTGTGTAAACTCTCACACAAGTTTGTCTTTCTATATATTTGTGTATGTATGTACGTGTGTGTCTTCCCGTGTGTATATACGCACTTGCGTGTTTTTAGGAACTTCAAGTTGGAGAAGAATAATTTTTTTTTTTTGCAATTTCACGATATTTTCTCGTAACGTCGACAGATCTGTTCGTGTTTTGAATAATCGAATCGTCGATTATGTACAGACATTTAAGGAAGTTTCTCTGATTTCTTTTTTTTTTTTTTTTTTTTTCTTTTTCTTTTTCTGATCTATCCAAATGTTTTTATATCAAGTAAAATGGAGGAGAGGATTGACGTACGACGATTTGATAACGATTTGATAACGATTTGATAACGATTTAATATCGCGTTTAATATAGACGAATACATTTTATGTTATCGTATATATGTATTCACATATAAGTTATAAATTTCAGAAAAACTTATAATTTGGATTAAAAAAAACTAGGTAAGTTTGTCTCTAGTTTGAGCAATCATTTCATATGTCTCTGTTATTCTTTTAGGAAACATCATCCAGGTGGCATGTTTTTATCGAATGGTAAGTGATATATATATATATATATATATATATATATATGTATACACATACATATACACACACGTCTGTTCCCTTAATTTACGCGAAAAGTATTCATTTCATGCAATTTTTTTTTATGCGGATAAAGATCGCGATAATTCAGTTTGCTAGTATGAAAAAAAGAAAAAAGAAAATATAGAGAGAAAAAAAATCAGTATAAGCTATTATACTGAATATTTATTCAGCACGTACACATATAGGTTTATAAAGAGAAAAAACAATTATATAAGATATATATATATATATATATATATAAAATAAAATTTCTACAAAAATGAAAATATAAATTTTATTCGTTGTCATACGAAAATATATATCGTATTCGTTATCGCCGCGTATCATATATTTCAAAAATGATCAACTTTTTTTTTTTTTATCGCCTCAAAATCCAAGTGCTCGTTGTTATAGAGAGATTTCGTCTAAAGGAAAAATATAACAGAAAATATTTATTCTTGATATACATGCGTACATGTAGGTTTATAAAAAGAAAAAAAAAATCTACGAAAGATATATAATTGTAGAAAAAATTATAAAAATTCTACAAATACGAAAGTATAAAATTTATTCCTTTTTCTTCTTGTGTAACGTCTAATCAACATCTATATTTTCTTTTTTTTTTTTTTTTTAATTCGTTCAAAATTAAAGTATTTATTATAGAAATTCTCGTCATTATCTAACCCTAGGATATTGTCGACAACACAGTATAGGTATAATTCACGAAAGATTATTTTAGAGAATTATATATTTTCTAATCGTATAAAGTTAGATCGTTTAAACAAAGATAGGGTATATAAGTATCATGTAAACGATGGTATAATTTATCGCATAAATAAAAAAAAACGGGTGGCCGTATGTATATATATATATTTTTTTTTTTTTTTTTTTTATAGGTAGTATATATTTAAGGTATTTAGAATTGAAGAAATAAACATATAAATATTTCGATTATATAATATATATATTTTTTCTTTTTTTTTATCACACCTGTATTTCCACAGTCTTTACATTATAAAACGGTTCAAGTCTTCTCGATAAATATGTAAGATTAAGAATTATATTTTTTCACAGAGGGATCGAGACAACGTTCCGCATAAAAGGTAAATATGTGAGAATGTGACTCTATTAACTAAAACAACTCGTTCAAACGGAGAATGCATAAAAAGTATATAAAAAGAACTGTATTCGTGGAAAAAAGAGAGAGAGAGAGAGAGAGAGAGAGAGAGAGAGAGAGAAAAACCAGTCAAATAAATAAGTGTAAATGTTTCGTTAGTGGATTTCTCACGATCGCATACATATTAAATTGCATTAGGTGCATCTATTGTTCGTCGATTTAAAAGAAGCACCTCTTCTAAACAACATATCTCGCATCTCGTTGCATTTTTCTATGTATGTATATATATATATATATGTATGTATGTATGTATGTATGTTTATAATTTTTTTAATCTATCGTGTAAGTTTTATCACATTTGAAATAAAGGTATTATCAATGGCGCAAAAGCTTAAGGCTCGATGTAAATAACGATGTGTAAGTAAGTAAATTATGGACTTGGATTATACGCGCGATATCGTTTTTTTTTCTTTTTTCTTTTTTTTTCCTTTTTTTATTTATTTCTTTTTCTTTTTTTTTTCCATTTCCTCCAACGAAGATATCAATGAAAGATATATTTTGTCATTTCGAAATATAAATATTAGGTGTGTTGTTAAGAAATAAGAGCGACAAAAGAGTTAACGAACGCATCATCTAACGTAGTCTCTTTATCTCATTACTTTGCGAAATAGATCTCCCTTTTTTTTTTTTTTTACAAATCATTCGAAAAATTTTTGTGCGTAATCAACGACGTGACTCTATTCCTTTTTTTTCCTTTTCTTTTCTTTTCTTTTCTTTTTAATCAATATTATTTCCCGCCGATGTGTCCAACATGGAAAAATGCGTGTATATTAGAAATTTTCTGATCCTGCATATATTTATTTTTCGTTTTATACATTACTGATGGTAAAAATTCATTTTTCTTTTTTTCTAAGAGTACACAAGTTTAATTTAATATTATTACGTTTATCACGTTATCGCTAAAATATTCATATATCATCAATGCGGTGTTTTCCTAAAAGTTATGGCTTTTTTTTTTTCTTATATATTTCTTTTTCTCCTTTTTTTTTTTTTTTTTTTTTTTTTTTTTTTTTTTTTTTTTTTTTTTTTTTATTATTATTACCGCGGGGTTTTATGTATAAGGGCGGGGGGTGGGGGAGTAGGGTGAAAAGGCCTTTTGCCAAGTTTATATCACGTTGCGAAAATCGAATATCTCTTTTAATCAATGGTCACAATATTTCTTATTTAATGACTTTCGTGTTATTCCATATTTTAATATAGTTCTGTTAATATAGTCAATAATATTAATACCAAAGAGAGATCCTTCAACTTGGAAAAAGACGTTTAAAAATTTGTTTTTAAGCTCGTATCAATTTTTATGAAGCACGACGATCGATTCTTGGCAAAAATATTCATGGATGGCAACACTAAAGTCGACAAGCGTAATACTTTAATCGAACACATTATCTTCGAATCTTTATTAATTATTATCTCCGCTGATCTTCAGCCATTAATTCGAAGAATTTACGAACGCTCTTTAGATACAAAAAAAAATAGAATAGAATAGAATAGAATAGAATAGAATAGAATAGTATAAAATAGAAAAAGAAAAGAAATAAATCAGAATTACTACACAAACATCACGAGTTCGTATTTATCATCACGCTGCACACGTCATACACTTGACTGCATACATCTGCGGTCATATCGTGCTTTCTGTTTCTTTTTTTCTTCCATTTTTTTTCTTTTTCTTTTTTTTCTTTTTTTTTTTTTTTTTTACAGTTTTCGCTTTTTATTTTTTACTGTCGTCATGCAATGCTTCATAAATTTTCGCCACTTGAAAAATACTTCACGAGAGTTGTTGTTAAAATACAATCATTTTCTTTTATCATCAATCATGCATTAGACATTTCTATTTCGCTTTTTGATCTTTTAATCAACGTTCGTTTAATTCGGATTATTAAGAGTATCGCAAAATAGAAAGAAAAAAGGAAAAGTAAAGAAAAGAAAAAAAGAAACAGGAAGGAAGAAAGAAAGAAAGATAAAAACAAAACGTCATTAGACAAAAATGATAAAGCGAAGAGTAGAACTTCGCAATATCTCATTAATAACAAATAGCTCGTTCTTTCGTATTTGTTTTTGTTAATGCATTTTAACAAACTCTTGCAAGTGTCCGGGCACGACTTCGTCAATTTTTTCGTCGTTACACCACCTTCTAATTACTTTAGCCGCTAAGCACGACAACGTGATGTATTTTAACGGGCTGATAGAGTAATAGTTTTGTTTGTTGCGTAATAAACTTTTGAAGGTTTTCTTATCTCTATTAACGGTATCGATATGAGCATTTGCATCGAGAAGCGCTACGGCAAGGTCTGGACGCCAAGGTAACGACATGGCCACCCAATGTAAAGCAGTGTTTCCATTCCTATCCCTCGAGTTAACATCAGCCCCAACTTTCAATAAAGCTGTAGTCAAGTGAGGCGAATGAAATTTGCAGACCGGATACCTTCCTACCAAAGCTACGTCGTCGCTATGTATTAATTGTAAGGCGTCGCGATCCTAAAATACAAAAAAAAAAAAAAAAAAAAAAAATAGACAAATAAATAAATAAAAAATACAAAACGTATATTAATAACAAACAAGATTTACGATCAAACTCGATATGATAAAAGGGGAAGGAAGAAGAATGTAAATTTCTTCTTTAACTATTTCTAAAAAAAAAAAAGTATTACCTCTAATATGCTTAGAGACAATAGAACGATGATAATTACCTCTTTGCCCTTTGCGTTGATTCGAACCAAGTCGTAAATAGCTTTATGTATGGCCACATACTCGTATGTACCTTCTGCGGGCATGTCGCGCGTCATCAAACAAGCTAGATGCAAGGTTATTAATAAAATTCTGTTTAAAGATGTGACGTCGCGATCTCTAAGTGGAATTTTATCTAACAATTGTTTCCCCAATCTAACTTCTTCTATCTGAAACAGGATTTAATCGATGGGCATAAAAATTATTGATAAAAGGAACAATAGAAATGGAAGAGATAAAGGAAAAGATGATTGGGAAAGGAAGAGAAAGAAAGAGAAAGAGGGGGAGAGAGAGAGAGAGAGAGAGAGAGAGAGAGAGAGAGAGAGAGAGAGAGAGAGAGAGAGAGAGAGAGAGAGAGAGAGAGAGAGAGAGCAAGAGAGATTGATAAATATTAAAAAAAAAATTTTTTTTCAAAAAATAAACAAATAAAGATAAATATTTCCTTCGATTTACTTACAGCCTTTAAAAAAATTCGAAGTATCTCTTGTCTGTCAACAGGAGGTACTCTCCTTCCTCTACTAGTTTGTCTACCTTCCTCGCCGATCATGAAGCTGAAGAGTTCGGCAAAACTAAAGAAGGAACTCTGTGTCATCGGATTTAATGGCTCAAGCATCCCCTGTTGCATATCCAATGCATAATTCCATAGTTCTATGCATCGATCAAATTTTCCTGCATCGGCATAGACCGCTCCTCTGTAGCGAATATAGTAACTTGTATCTGGATGTGCCGGACCCAGAATTCTTTCTCTAATTACTAATGCCTGCATACGCATTTCGTCTGGGTCTGCCAATAGCTCATCCAGTTGTTCTGGTTCGCATATTTCTTGAGCAAAGTCATAGGCCGCTATTAAGGGTAGAGGCGATGGTTTTGATATTACAACGTCGCTTTGATATCTAAAGGAAATTAAAGAAGTAATTAAATTTAAATCGTATAAAGTTTCACGACGTTCGTCCATTGTGAATGGACAAAGAAAAATGTAACTCGATCGTTCTTCAATTATCTTGACTCTCTTTAACATCCAATTAATATCTCAATTAACTCACTTCAATTTTTTTTTTCTTTTTTTTTTTTGTTGTTCTTTTTTATCGTAATATTAACTCTTTGCGGTTGTAATATTTTTTGTACGTGCTTTTTCTTTTTTTCTGTTTGTTTATTACTTTTTTCTTTTTCTTCTTTTCTTTTGTTTTTTTTTTGTTTTTTAATATAACATGAATACTTCGTCGTGGTCGGAATTATTTTTATCAAACACGAATCGAGATACCCTGGATTCAATCAATTATTGCCGTATAAAATTAATTTTATCGAAATATCATATTTTCCAGAGAAATTTACTTTCGGTGAAATTCATATTCTCGGTTTATGTACGTTTGTAATTTTACAACCGACGGATATAATATTTCATTGACCTCAATGTTTTATTTCAATTGGAACGGAAAAATTGCTTCGTTCGATCTGAATTATTCTGTTATAGACAACTAGGAAAGATTAAAAATGATTTGTCTGAAAAAAATTTATCCTCTGACCGCAAAGAATTAATACCTAACTGAATCATAACATTTCTAATGAATTTATTAACGAATCTGATCACTCAATCTTTATTCTTTATAACAAAAAAAAAAAAAAAAGAAAAAAAAAAAATAAATAAATAAATTGATTTTACCTATCGTCCATGGCGCGTTTCCAAAAATTAAGAGCACCGACCATGTCCCTTCTCTTATCGACATACGTTGCACCTAAAAGTTCCAATGCATCTATGCGTTCCTCGCGTTTTATTATTTCAGGAATTCCAATTAGATATTCCACGATATCGGTGTTGCCTGTGGGGAAAGAAAAAAATAAAGAGAGATTATTGTTTGTAGGATTATTCTTTGAATACTTTGCCGATCAATCGATCATATAAAAGATCATATAAAATATTTTGCTCAAAAAGACACATTATGCTCCTTTTTTACTATAATCAAGATATATATATATATGGATTTAAACAATTTTTGAATAAGTAATTAAATATCTATAATAAAGATATACGACATGAATGAAAACATGACATTGATAGTCATGAAATTTATGAAAATTCTGAAAGAAAAATAAAAAAAGAAAAAAATACGGTAGTATATAATAATAAGTCAACAGTAGAAGCAAATATTGTTTGATTGGCAAAGCAATAATAGGAATTGATCAATATGGAAAGGATTTTCATTAACCTGTTACCGCTGCTGCCAGAAGTGGTGTCATACCAAAAGAATCAACGTCCATTTGAGCACCGTGTTGAACGAGCAATTTAAGGATTTCTAAGGATCCACTTTCTGCACAATCGTGTAACGCAGTGTTACCTCTGACTGATTTCCTATTGACATCTGCGTTCCAAGCTAATAGTAACTTAACAATGTCGATATGGCCTCTGTAGCATGCTATCATCAAACACGTGTGCCCATGACGATTCGCCATTTCTATGTCTGAAAAATGAGAATACGTTGTATCGATCGTTCTTTGCCGTGAGAAAAGCTTTACAAAGTCTACAAAAAAAAAGAGAAATGAAGGAAAAAAAAAAAAAATAAATAAAAACAAAAAAAAATTTATCGTAAAAACGAAAGAGCAAGGATTTAATTTCTTTCGTGATTTCTCTTTTTACCTGCACCATTCTTGACCAAGAATCTAATAATTTCATAATGTCCATCAAAACAAGCAGCCCTTAATGGCGTCGAATTTGTTTTCGTCGTCGAATTTACGTTCGCCCCTCGTTGCACTAGCAATTTCACTAGTTCGATGTGACCGGCCGCTGCTGCACACCACAACGGTGGCGCACCTTCTATGGTTTCGCCATCAAAAACAACTGAAGTAAAAATATTATACATCCTTATCTAAATCATTTATATTTTAAATAAGAAGATAATACACTTGTCTGATACACGTCCATTATTAGCAATTTATTATTAAACTATATTCGTTTCTTTCTCTTTTTATTTTTTTGCTTTCATTTTTTTTTTCATTTGATCCAATCCAACAAACTGTATTATCTTTTTCTTTTATGTGGTCTAATTAAAACATTAATACAGATAATGCAATAACAAGAATTATGACAGTTATCAATGTGCCGTTAACAATAATCGAACGTTTCTTGATTCGAGACTAGAATAAATGGTTTTTTTTTCTTTTTTTTTTTCTGTTTTTTTTTTTATGTTTCTCAATCTTTCATCGTATAAATCCAATTAGTATAAATGATTGTTCATGTCATTTAGAAGAATTTTTTATGAGTTGTATCAATACACGGTATTCATTCCGAGATTGCAAAACAAACATGACGCATAAGCGACGTGTGAAAAATGATTATTTTTTGCAAAATTCTCTATGATCTCTTTTTTTTTTTTTTTCTTCTTTTTTGTTACCTGAGCCGGGTTGTTCTATGTCTGCCCCACATTTTACTATGAGATATTCTGCTACATCGTAGTGCCCATTTCTACAGGCCATAACCAACGGTGTAGCCCCATGGGTCGTAGTGCTGACTAATACTTCTACCTCATGTTTATCCCGGCGCTCCAACAATCGCTATTGAAAAAGAACGAAAATATTTTGTTAAATTCTTTTTTTCTTAGTTTTAGTTTTTCTTTTCTCTTTTTTTTTTTTTATCGATCAATTACATACATCAATAAAATGTCAATTCGAAATTCGAATATATTTCAGGAATGTCGTCTACAAAAAAAAAAAAAAAAAAAAAAAGAAGAAGAAAAAGAAGAAAATAAAATAGAAAATCAACAATTTTTAATAGTATTTGTAAATGAATTACAAAATATTCGTTTAAATAATTCTAAAAAAGAATTCGTGTTTAGCGAGAAAATTTATAAAGTTCTGTTTATAATGTTACAGAAAATATGACATAAAGATCGAGTCAATCTCAGAATGAATCTTTCGAGTTTAGTTTTATGAATGGATAACTTAATAATTTACAAGAATTATTATATATATATATTTTTTATATATTAAAATCGATTAACATTTCATTAGCAACTAAAAAACTGTATAATAATAATAACAATAATAATAATAATAATTTCAATTAATTAAATTTTTCTTTAGATCTTTTAAATTCGAGATTTGTAAATATTCAAATTAATTAGCACTTGTATTTTTATTTTTTTTTCTAATTTTCTCTTTAAGTTAACAATCAATTTGAAACATTTTGTCAATAGAAAATGATGTAACGTTAAAATAAATTTAGGAACATTTTATTCTTTATTTAGGAATATTAAAGATTAGAAAGATCGATAGTAATAACAAAAGTTTCTTTAGTTGTCAAAACTTACATTTGAAAATACGTTACCCGTTTTGAAGATATGTAATTGAGAAATGATATTCGAATATACGAAGAGAACTAGAGGATTTTATTTTTTAGTTATTATGTGCGATTTTAACAAGTTTTCAAAATCGACTAACAAAGTCTACGGCTTAAATTAAATATCATCTAGGATGTCACGTGCTAGTTGTGTCCATGTATATAATTGGTATTCAAACTCTTTTCAACGACGATATAGAGTTAAGCATAGGAAACGTAAAAATGGTTGTTCTCTTCTCTTTTCATGCGAATAATAAATATTTAATATATGCCTTCTTTCCCCGTCTCTTTATCTTTATCTTTATCTTTGTCTTTGTCTCTCTCTCTCTCTCTCTCTCTCTCTCTCTCTCTCTCTCTCTCTCTCTCTCTCTCTCTCTCTCTCCCCCCTATCTCTCGCTCGCTCTTATGCACGCGCGCGTTCACAAGTATATTTCTTTCGCGTAGAGATGTTCACTCTGACTTCTTTCAATTTGTAATGACCGTTTCGTCTCCGAACGAGACCTTCTTAAACGTTCTTTCTTTTTTTTTTTTTTTTTTAATTTTCTTATTCTCCTGCAAAACTTCTTTTTCTCCTACGAAACTTCTTTTCCTCCTTTATATTTTTACAAACTTCCTGTTTTTTCTCCCTCCTATTATGAAGTCACAATCACATCTATTTATCTCAATCAAAAATCATTATTTCCTTGTTGAAAAAAAAGAAGAAAAAAAAAAAAAAACCAAGAAAAAATTATACCGAACGAAAGATGTCGTTTATGTGTTATTTTTCTTTTCTTTTCTTTTCTTTTTTTTTTCCCCCGCCTTTAATACACGATAAACGCTTTTCATCAGTTTAACGTGAGGTAACGAAGTAAAGTTATGAGCGAATAAAAAGGATTTAAAACAATATTATTATTTTTAGATAAACGAAATAAGGACTTTTTTTTCGTCGTTGAGTTCGCATTTATTTATTCATTTCATTTCATTTTATTTCATTTTATTTCAATTGATTTTACCTATTTTCTTTTTCTTTGAACGTACACTTTAAGCGCGTAATGTTTATATGTACTTATTTAATAATACGTCACGGATCGAATTTTACATTTTATTTTTTTCTTTTTTTTTCTGTTTCATTTTCTTTTTATATACCACAGACAGAGCGCGTAACATTTGACATTATAATTAAATTATGCAAAATATTTCTATCTTTTATTAATGTTGCATTGAACTAATGTATTGAATTAATATAAAAGTCATGTGAATCTTTCAATGTGAAATTTCAACGATGATTGGCTATAGTTTATCTCATAAGTTAACTATAAAAAATTAAAGGAAAAATTCTTTCTGTCATGGGTATATCGTAAGAATTCACACAAAAAAAAAAGAAAAAGAAAAGAAAAGAAAAGAAAAAAAAAAGGAAAAAAAAGAAAAGAAAAGAAAAGGAAAAAAAAAAAGAAAAGAAGAGAGAGAGAGAGAGAGAGAGAGAGAAAGAGAGAAAAAAAGAAGAGAGAAAAAAAAACAAACAAAATAATTTATGCAAATTAGAAACGCTCGTTTTCTTTTTCTATGTTCAGACAAAAGAAGGCAAAACTTTTCAATACACACACGTATGCACAGACTATTGCGGAAAGAATATTAATTCGTATATATACATATATACATACATATATATATATATATTATATATATATAACTATATGTACATATAAACACACACACACATATATATATGTTTATATATATATATATAAAAAAAAAAACGGAGCAAATCCTCACGCGAAGCCGCTTTGTCACCGACTGACCGAGTGGAACCCCGGTTAACACGCGCTCCTCTTGGAGAAATTACGCTTCTCCTCCACCGTCTCCTCTCCTCCTCCACCGTTCGTGGGACGTGCTGGTCCCGTTAAACGTATACAATCAGTGACATTGGGCCCACCAACGACTAACAAACTAAAATATTTCTTTGATACTAACGATGATTGAGAGAAATGGTGAAGGTAAAGAAAGTTTGGTAGAAAAGTAGAGAAAAAGTTTCAAGGAAGAAAAAGATGTTGCATTTTTACCACACCATTTTATTTCTTTTCCTTCTATCTTTCTCTCTCCCTCTACCCCCTCCCTCTATCTCTCTCTCACTCTCTCTCTCTCTTTCCTCTATAGGGCGCTAATGATCCCGTTATTCCATTGACCGATTTTCTTTTTCCAGAGTCACCTTTTACGCATCTCCCCCTTTTTTTCTTCTTCCTTCTCTCTCTCCCTCCCCCTCTCTCTCTCTCTCTCTCTTTCTCTTCGTTTTTACTCTCTCCGAAATCATCTCATCTCATCTCCTTTCTCCTTCCAATCTTTCTTTCGACCTTCCTTTTAGTCGAATGTAGGTAAGGAGGACAATCGAGGCCGAAAATCTTGGTCCTAATGAAATGTAAGAGAGGCAATACGACGATATCATCATGATCGTTCCTTGGTCGACGAACGATCGAAGAAACGAAGTGATTAAATTCGACGAATAAAATTGACTAATATGTTAATGTCGGTTCTTTTATTAATAGCTTTTAGATATTAGTAAAAAAAAAAAAAAAAAAAAAAGCAGTCGTCACCGATCGCTTTTATATATAGGATATTATATATAGAATATATTCATATCGGTGATATCCAGAAAATTAATTGTTTTTAATTATAAATTATGTACATTTGCGATTGAATGGATTCCCATTTGGTGGTGTCGTTATTGATCACATGTTTTTCCTGTTCGCCGATGACAAAGTACGTAAAACGCGTTTTTATAAATATATTCTTTTGAACATAATGTCTGACTACAATAGCTCATGAATGCGACTTTAAATATATTATTTTTGATTTTTATATTTAATTTATTCCGTTGCCTGTGGTTGAATTTATACGTAGTTCAACCACTTAAGGATTAAGATCGATCAGGCATTTTCTAAGAAAAATAATTTATACTTACATTCAATGAATATGCTTAGTTAAGTAGCTACAAAAGAGAGGACTTTATGTAAAATTTATATGATCTTTCATATCACGTTCGCTCGTTATGTTCGAAATTGATTATGTTAATTGCATTCGACTCATTTAACGTCGTAGTTGTTTAATTCTAACGCGTATTACTGATTACAAAACGTTATAATCTTATACTCCTATACGTGAAGATGAACAATGTTGTAATTGATAATTTGACAAAGAGGATCGATCGAAATTCGAATAACGCGTGAAATTTGTTCCGTTTTAATCGAGTTAACACGTTACCGTTAGAATTCGAGAAAAAGGAGGACGAGCAATTGCTTCATATTTTGTTTTCTTTTTTTTTTTTTTTGCTTTTTTTATGTCAGTTCTCAATAATTTGCAAAACTTTAAAACCAATCGAAGAAAGGAGGATAAGGTTTATTGGTACTTGGAATTCTTTTTTGCTTCTACCTTTCTTTTCCTTCCTTTCTTTCTTCCTTCCTTCCTTTTCTTTTTTTTTGTTTTTTTTTCTGTTTTTTTTTTTACTTTTTTACAAAGTGACCCACTAAAAATTTTTACCTTCCTTTAAATTAACAACGCGAGTGTATATAACAACCGAAGCGTAATTTATTGCCAAGAGTATAAAATTGTTCTTCTAGGACGATTTATACGGTTTGGTTTATTAGGTAATAAAAGGTACTGTGAATATCTGGTTACACTTGTAACATCAACCCGGAAACATCATTCTGGAATTTAAATCGAATAATGGCGTGTCTTGTAAGAACGTTATATTAGTATTAGAGAAGTTCATTATTTTTCCATCGTTAGTAGTTTTTTTCTATATATACTTTTACATTTGTACAGTTTATATTTTTGACCTTTAATAGTGCTTTTAAATATTTTTGTAGAATCATCGTTAACGTTTATCAAAAGTATTGAAAATGCAAACTCATTCGACAAATATGACCTACTAAACGTACGACACATAAAAGGTGAATGTTGATAAAATTGCATAGCCTTTCAAATATTTTATGTTAGATGTGTTTTCTATTTGACTAATTTTTCTTTTTTTTTTTTTTTTTTTTACACGAGTGAAAATATTCATTTGTCATAAGTCGATGAAAAATCATTTGTTGTAGATCTAAAGATAATAAATTTGCAAATGCAATTGTTAAAAATTATATTCGATATATAATATCAATTATCAAATATGTAATGTATTTGTATCGACTGATTTCGTCAATAACGAAAATAATTTTTTTATTACAAATATAAATAAATAAAT